CTCTGTCTCTCTATCCCTCTACCTACCTACCTACCTACACACTTACTCTCTCTCTACCTACCTACTGTATTTCTCTCTCTGTCTCTCTATCCCTCTACCTACCTACCTACCTACACACTTACTCTCTCTCTACCTACCTACTGTATTTCTCTCTCTGTCTCTCTATCCCTCTACCTACCTACCTACCTTCTCTCTCTCCCTACCTATCTAATATATTTCTCTCTCTCTCTCTCTCCCTTTATCTACTTACCTACCTACCTATCTCTCTCTCCCCCTACCTATGTTCTCTCTCTCTCTCTCACTCTATTTCTCTCTATCCCTCTACCTATCTATCTACCTACCTACCTACCTCCCCCCCCTCTCTATTTCTCTCTCTCTATTCCTTTATCTATCTACCTACCTAACTACTCTCTTTCTCCCTACCTACCTACTGTGTTTCTTTCTCTTTCTCTCCCTTTATCTACTTACCTACCTACCTATCTCTCTCTCCCCCTACCTATGTTCTCTCTCTCTCTCTCACTCTATTTCTCTCTATCCCTCTACCTATCTACCTACCTACCTACCTACCTACCCCCCCTCTCTATTTCTCTCTCTCTATTCCTTTATCTATCTACCTACCTAACTACTCTCTTTCTCCCTACCTACCTACTGTGTTTCTTTCTCTTTCTCTCCCTTTATCTACCTACCTACTTTTTTTAAAAAAATTGCCTCTTCAAAACCTTGGTGCGTCTTATATTCTGAAAAGTACAGTAAATCTCAGGTGTTTTATGCGGTGTCTAACATAAGAACTAGGCTCACTAGATTTTACTAGGATTTGAATCCTTACTGCTTCTACCATAGAAATGTACAGTAAATAAACTCCAGCTTTATAAATTTCTGATTAATCTCTTTTCACTGATATTTTCATCAGATTTGTATAGAAGTTCATTCTCATTGTCACATATTTTATACTTCTAAAAATTATTTTTAGGAAAGGAGCATCAATAATTTCATGATTCTACTTTCCTGAATTTTCCCCAACTATTTTTATTGGCAGCAGTAAAGAACTCAAAGTGTACCCTTATAGGATATTGGTTGGGGAAGACTCAAGAGAGTGAAATCAAGCCAAATAGAATCACCAACAGTGCAATCTATCAGAGATCCAGCTAGAAGGAACGTCAGAGAGTTATTTCTGACAGAGGTCCAAAGAGAAGTTTGGATCATTATAAGAGGAGTAGAACCCTTATGGTTGAACAGCTGAAAGTAGAAGGCTGACGGATGGATCATGAGACACATGATAATGCCTGAATGTTTGTCATATTTCTGACTGAGAAATATAGAAACAGGTTCTCTTGAGGCTTGTTGAACATATGCATGATGTATAAGAAACGGGAATATACATGGATTTCTTAACAGGATCTTGAAAAATCATAACATCAAAGCAGGTTTTAAACATAAATAATTTAAAGTTAGCCTATATTTCATGGCGTTACTAGAATTTTATAGATCAAATGTAAATCCTTAGACAATACCATCAATCCAATGTGAAATAAATTTATAGACAAGTGTAAAAGGTTGTACCTTCTCACATGAAAAGTTCTGCAGTTTAATATCTGAACATCTTTTGTCTTATATGAAGATCCAGACTTTTTGGCAGCATTCAGTAACAGTGAACTGAAAAAGCACCTTGATGAAATCTGTCAACAAACTGAAATGATGCAAGAGCTTCTCAGTGTTGCTATTGGACATATGGAGGCATGAGAGACACTTCCAGCCTGTACATCATTAGTCAGAATAGAGATCATTAAGAGTTCTACAGTAGGCTGCCAAAGTCCTATGGGATAAGGCTGATAAGCACCCACCTTTATCTTCTTTGAAAAAGCTGCCAAAGACTTAATTGGCAAGCTTGGCAAGGCCACACAGAGCAAAGAGTCAAAACAGAGCTTCAGAAGGTAAAGCGACCAGCATGAACCAAGTCCCTTCCCCTTTAACTGTTCTTGCCTTCTGGCAGCTCTGCGCATGCATGCACTGGGAANCCGAAGACCAATAGGCAGCCAGTGCAGCTCGCGGAGGATAGGTGTGACATGGGTGTACCGGGGTGCACCCACAATCGCTCGCGCGGCTGCATTCTGGACCAGATGAAGTCTTCGAATGCTCTTCAAGGGCTGCCCCATGTAGAGCGCATTGCACTCTTGGAGTTGAGGTCCACAGGTCTTAAAGTTGCCAAGGTTGGAGACCATTGTCTTAAGTTACTCTTCATCATCTTTCTTAGTTCTTTGAATTACTTCAGAAAAGGAGACTCACATGTGATTCATGGTTATGGCCATTTTGATTTGGAATATTTAGCCTCATTTGACCTCTGCACCTTGCACCTACAAAGGAACACAAAGAATTATTTGCTAGACAGTCTTCAAATAACCAGAAACAGCATATTAGGAATATGCTTATACTACGTGTGAAATGTAGTAATTTGCACGCAAAATTTCTGGAATTTGTGGTGACTGGAGTTCTTAAACTCTCTTTTAATTTACTTCAATTTGCCATCTTAAAATGAAGTAAATCTTAAGTAAATCTTAAAATGGCAGGATGCTCAAACGTGGAAGTGAGATGGTGTATACGCCACTGGGATTTGCAAGTTGTCAGTGCCTGACAAGGAGCTTGTGGTTCACTCCCATTTTTTAGGGATGTCGTCTGTGTCTAATCCCGTCTTTTAATCAATGCATAATCTACAAAAATCTGGTTGGTGTGTTTTGTCACACTAAAGCTATACAAACATGAGAGCTGGTAGAATAGGAGCAACAAGTATCTGGCCCAACTTTTGCCTTCAAGCCAATATTGAGGATGTCAACTGCCACAGTACATGTGCTAGTGTACTTTGATACCAGGCAGTTGACAGTATGCCATGAACTCTGGGGAGAGTGGATGGGAATGGGAATGCTTGGGGGAAAGTGAAAGTAACTGCGGTTGTTCTGACCTAGGCTTCCTGATACAGTAAAAAACACACACTTGGTCCTAAAAACCCTCTTTTTATTTCAAAGGCTGTGAATTATGTTCATTCACAGCCCACAATGAGTCCCAAATAGATTGTAAAGAATTCTACAGTAGGCTGCCAAATTCCTTCGGGATAAGGCTGATAAGCACCCACCTTTATCTTCCTTGAAACACTGCCAAAGACTTCCTTGGCAATTAGCTTGGCAAGGCCACACGGAGCAAAGAATCAAAACAGAGCTTCAGAAGGTAAACTGACCAGCATGAACCAAGTTGCTTCCTGCAAAGGCTCATGTGCCTTTGCTGCTCCTTTATGTCCTATGGGAGGGGCCAATCACCTCTAAACCTTACTCCCGAGTCATCCTTTCTGTCTTAACTGTTCTTGCCTCTGGCAGCTATGCACATGTGCACACCTGGAAAAGAGAGAGCCTGTTCCTCTGCCTCGCTGTTGTCTGATTCTGGAGGTTCTGGAGGCAGCACACAACTCCCAGATAGCCCTGGCCCCTCTCTGTCTTCGACGCAGAGCCCTAGTCCAAGCCTTCCCCAGACTCCAGGTCTGGCCGATGTTCCTCCCCAACCTCCTCCCTGTCTGACTCTTCTGTCACTTCTGCAGACCACAACAGCTGTATCACCCCTGTGAGACTGCCTCAAAGTCACCTGGTTGGGAGAAGAAGGCTTGAAATGACCATTCTGACAACATCTTGCTTGAACTTGATTGGTCAGGGGGGTATCAGTGAAGTGAGGCAATTAAGGGAAGGTAATGTTGAATTTAGGGATTTTGACATGTGATTCTCAATTCTGGCACTACTGCAATACACTTAATAAAATTATACCTTTCTCAACAAATGGAGCCAAGGATCATTACCATTTAGAGGATTAAGTATGGGTAGGTTTGACAGATGAATCAAATACTGCCACGATAAACCTTCCCATTTTGAATGCATCCCATTAGGGGCCAGAATTTTAAATCAGTTAGGTTAGGACAAAGCGAGTAGACAATATTACTTGAGTTCCTTTCAATTTGCTGTCCAGGGTGAGAATTTTTCTCTATCTCAAAGAAGAACCTTGACTTCCAAAATTGTTGAAAGAGGACACAATTGGGTTTTAAATGTAGGATGGAAGCTTTGGGAGATAGTTGTTCCTCTGCATACTTTAAAAAGTAATAGTAAAGTTTATAATGTGTTTTTTTAAAGGAAAGTGATATCAACTTACGATAGTATAAAATCGATCCCACAATCAATGCAACAAAAAGCGGAATTAAGCAAAGCCACCACAAATCACCTGTGAAGAAGAATATTTAATAACATCACATTTTCCAATCCATGTGAGTCAATTTGCAGATTTTTGAATCAGTTCTGCTAAACAAAGCAACAAATTTCATTTCATTTCATTTCATTT